TATATGATTAGGCATTACCCCTGTTTCATAAAATCTTCTTACCAGATTGGTGATATCCTCTCCTATCCAATCCCAAGCCGCCAGGTAGAACGCCACATTGAATCCATCTGGTCCTGGGGATGCATTGACCTTCATTTCCTTCAAAATGCTCCAAACCTCCTGTTTATCTGGGATAGTGTTGGTACAATCTCTGCTGTCATTGTTTGTTGTTGTTGCATCGTACGGCCTCCCAAGATCTGCATTGTTAGACTTGAAGATTTCTTTAAAATAGTCTACAAATATGTGCGCAATTTTATCTGGGTTAAAATGAGTAATATTTTTGTTATCCCTGATGGAAACTATTTGGTTTTTCCTCCTCCTTTTGAGAACAGCTTGATGGAAAAAACTGGTGTTCCTATCTCCTTTTGTCGCCCAATGTTTCTTAGCTCTCTGGCTATAAAATTGAGTGAGCTTCGTTAAATTTTCCTCAAACCTGCAAACAAGGGCTGCTTCCATGTTGTGATCCTGCTCATGCAATGGTTTTTTTTGAATATTCTTAATTTGTTCCTCCAGAGAATTGAGTTCCTGATTTAGAGGTTTCTTCTTCTTGCACCATTTCTTGAGTGATCCTGCAAGGTGGCGGTCCCGCTTGATGCAAAGAGGCCTCACGGGAGTAGTACTAGTTGCTGGTTTGATAAAAGCAATGATTAAAAAACGAGTCTGGACCTTGCTGCATAGATTATTCCTTTTCAAAATCTGAGTCTTCAGGTGGACTGATCTGACACGACGTCCAGCGGTTTGCAGCACAACTCCGGTTGATCTCGGCAACACGCAACTGTGGCAGCAAAAAAGTGATCTTTCATCTGGATTCGACGTGTCGCCTAGACGCGTGCTCTCTGTAACTTGACGTGCTGTTCGGAACCAAAAAATTGTAACTTGACATGACTTAGCTTCATGTGAAGGCCCTTGGGACTTGAAACAGCAGCAGCGACTGATTTTCTCAAAACAGCAAACAGGACACTGCGTACTCGGGGCTTCGAGCGTATATACGCAGCAGCGGCAACTTGCGGATCGATATGACGCGGCGTACGGCGGCTCAGCGGAAATCCCGTCGGCTTCCTTCATCAATCTGGCTTCGGTTCGTCAGGCCGCGTCGGGCGATGACGCACAGGATGCCGAACCCTAACTTCTCTCGTCTCAAACTTGTATATGCCGCCGCTGAAAAACTTTTTCAATCTTTGACCAATGAACTTCATAGTTGATGTGAATTCTTTCAAACCGGCTCCTGTTCATCCGGAAACTTGTGCACTTCTCAAAACCCGAGATGAGATCCCTCCAAGAACTCAACACCACCATGCGCAGGCCCCACGGTGGGCGCCAACTGTCGTGGAATTGTCACGTCAGATGTCCTTAGTGTCAGGACTTAGTCGCGAGGCCAACGCATCTATGTGGTAGCTTGAGAGGGGTTGAGTGGAATCGAGAGACGCAACACAAGACAGGGATTTAGACAGCTTCGGGCCTCGGGAAACATCATCCGGTAAAAACCCTACATGCTGTTTGAGGCTAGGTCTCATTATCATCACGAGGGAGTCGCCGTAAACCGGCTCTCCTCTTTGTGTCTAGCCCTAAGATTGTTTCTTCTTACTTGTCCCTCTTTGGGGAGCCCTGCCCCTCCTTATATATGTTGAAGGGGCGGGTTACATGTGGAGTCCTATTAGGATTAGGACTAGTCTCCCTTCTAATACAAACCGGATACAAGTCCGGGTCTTCCTTGTAAAGTAAATATTCCTCACGCATTTTCTCTTAAACCGGCCCACCATAGCATGATCCGGCCTTCCATAAACCGCCCGTTGGGCCACCGGGTCTTGTCGCTCCTCTGACCCGCCTGCCGGATTACCAATGAACCATAAACCGCCATGTCCAAGTGGGTTGCCAGTGAATCGCCAAATTCTAGCCGGGTCATACATCCGGCGGTTTATATCGCGGGGTATATCCCCGACAAAATCCGTGGCATCCGAAATAGAGTAGTCCAAAATCCATCTCCTCTTACAAACCCTTAAGAACCGAGCAATTAAACATCATGGAAAGGTAGAACTAACATAAATTCGTACCAAAATTTACCTGGCAGCTCCAAAAAGTTAACAGGCATTCCCAGAAGACCATTGTTCTCTGCCCCTGTATGTACAAGAATAAAGAACCACTTTCTCCTCTAAACTTAATTAGCATATGTATCTCCTATGGATGATGTTTACTCAACTCTGTTTAATCCGCTCACAGGAATAGAATCTCCTGTGGGTATTAACCACAATCATGGCACTGGCAATGCCCACAATGGTCTGGACCCAATACCCCTCCCGCTCTGCTCTCTCCCCTGCCGGTGTTTGCCATTATACCGGAGGACGTCGCCGCGTGGGATGCTGAACGGAGGCACCGCCACCGGGATCTGGATGTTTCACAGGAAGCTTGTTCACCCAATTATCCTACATCCCTGATGTCATATGAAAAAAATTCCATTTGAAACATCAACACGAAATTAAGAATAAGTCTTCATGTTTAATGAGGTAGTGCTAGATCAATTTCCTATGCCGCTTAATCAATTTCCTGATTTCATGAGGCCATATAAAAGATATTTCCCTGATAAAGTAATAATTCTTCAAACACAAATTTCTTGTGGGAATTAGCACAAACATTTTCTTGGCAACCAAAACTCGGTTTCTCATATTACACTGTACTGTAGTAATGTAATGGGTACTATCGATCTTCTAAAACATAATAAGAAGGGCTAGCTTATAAACAGAAAACACTGTTTTATGGCTCAATAAGTATTAGCAAACATGACATGATAGCAGGAGTGCTATGATCAATTTTACAAAATTGGGCAATAATGTAGCAAGGGTTCAACTTGTTTGGGCAAGTGATGTTCAGCATGTTCAGTTTGATCTTACCAAAAGGATCAACGTAATTCAAGACAGCGGAACTGAACCAAGAATACATTGGTGCCTATCAATAACTCCCAATTGGATTTCGCCTTAAATCAGTGCAGGGGTGGCAGGGGAGCACATGTGTATACCTGCACGTGGTCGTGAAGATCGGTTCAGACGAAGTAGCGTCCTCGTCGGCGTTGCAGAGAGGGCCTGAGTGGAGGAGCCGGCTTCCGTGGATAGCACACGCTGAGATGGGGAGCGGCTACACGACAAAAAAAATTCGGAGGCCAGCAGCACATTGGAAATCCATCAAGAGTTGGCCTGCAGTGTTGGAGTATATAGTCAATGTTCTCAAGACTTTGCAGATTCAACTTCTCAAGTAAAATCATAGTAAAATTGATTCGTTTTACACATTATGAACATTCCGAAGCAGATAACAGAACTATCGGGCGGCTATTTACTGTTGCTAAAATTGTATCTGACTATTAGATGAGTAAGTCATCAGAGAAATTGTTATGTATATAGAACATGTACTTCCAACACTCATGGGTGCTGCCCACACGCCACAAGAAAATCTTTGATACAAAATCAACCAGGGGAGAGCATGCCCATGCCACTGAACTCTCACGCGATCTGGGGTTGTTGTTGGCCACAGGATAAACTTATGAAGGGCATCTCTAGCAGTTAGCGACGATGCGACATACGAGTACGTTTTTTACGGGGAGGAGAGGAATCAGGACACATACCTGGATCCGCCGACCGGAGCCACCGCCGGAATCCGCGCCGTCCTTACTCTGCCTTCTCTTCTCCTCATCTCACATCCTCTCTCTCCCACGTCTCTTCTTCCCACGAGACCGAGGCGCCATGGCCATGGAGCACCGGCCGCCGCGCTGGATCCTGACCTGATCCGCCTTGCCGCGACGTCCGCCGCTTCCCTGCCGTTCCCCACTTTCCAGAGTCCTGCCGCCGTCGCCCTACATGTCCCGATTGGATCGGGACTTCGGGAGCGCCGCCGCTCGATCTAAAGCCAAACATGCACAGACGGTTGACGAAAAAAAATAACTGCGTGTTAAATTAGCGAGAACCGTTTATTCGACGGTGAGAGACGGGGCAAGGCCCAACTGGATCGCGGCCCAGTTAAGCGACCAAGAACGTAGCGGTCAATCGAGTCAATTGGAGAGACAAAATTTAGTACCACCTCGAATATGTTTTAAATTTAAACTGAAAGCGTAAAATTATGGAGAAAAGCGTATTGTGACGGTGAACCCATGGAGTCAATCCGTATTTTATTATTATTAGGGATAGATATGCGGATGAATTACCTAAAACATCGGGTTTTTTCGAAAAATGTAAAATAACGGTTCGGGTGTGACTTAAATCCGGACGGCGGGTTGATTTCAAGCAAAGACATGGGCTTTTGTGTAAAATACGAAAATAACGATTCGTTTTAACTTAAAACAGGACTGCGGGTTGAATTCTCTGAAACAGAAGGACTTTTAAAAAAAATATCATGACGCCCGAAAGAAATCTTATTTACTTTATTATTACGTAAAGATAAAGATAAAGATATGTGACGTGCAGTGTGCTCGTACGACGTAAAACCGAAGTTAAAGTTAGCGCTGCTCGTGGCATACACACGCATGGTCACGCCTCACCAACGAATAAGAAGCATCATAGAGAAGTTCTGGAATGGGAAGGAGTTGTTCTACTTCCAGAACGTTCAGCTACTACTCCCGCGCATCCCGCTGAAGCGGCCACAAGACGGGCACTGGCAGCTCCACTGTGCAGCACTGACACGTGGGGAACGTAAGAAGCAGAGGATAGGCCCATTCCCACGGCCATCGCGCTCGCTCTCTAGAACATCCCGCCACGTGTCCCTCCCATGGCTGATGGCTTCCCTCCATTTGAGTTTTGACCACTGCACCGCCAACTCCCTCCGCCTCCTATAAATTCCACTGCCAGCCCCCGAACCCAAGCTCCTCAAACCCACCTCCCCTCCCACTCCTCAGCTCGGCTTGAGCTTGTCACAGCTCCGTACATACAACGTAGGACAAGAAACCATCTCAATTCTCGATCTAGCTCGAGACACAACTAGCAATGGCGTCGTCTATCACTGCTCCGGCCGCTGCCCCCGGCAGCGTCGTCAGGCCACCAGCTAAGGTTAGGCCACGGCCACCACCATCGAGGTTCAACCCTAACGATCCCCGCAGGAACGCGGATGGCTCTGCTGTTGTCACTTGGAAGGGCCCAATGCGAGCGGCTCCCGCGCGGAAAAAGTGGCCCAACCCGTTCCAGCGCATGGTGGCCGCTGCGTTGGACGCGGTGGAGGACAGGCTAGTCGTCGGCATTCTCGAGCGCAAGCACCCGCTGCCGCGAACGGCGGATCCGGCCGTGCAGATCTCCGGTAACTACGCGCCGGTGGGGGAGCTTCCACCCGCCGGGCCGGAGGACCTCCCTGTCGTGTCAGGCCGCGTCCCGGCGTGCCTCGAAGGCGTGTACGTCCGCAACGGCGCCAACCCGCTCCACGCGCCGCGCGCTGGCCACCACCTGTTCGACGGCGACGGGATGCTCCACGCCGTACGCCTAGGCGGTGGCCGTGCCGAGTCCTACGCGTGCCGGTTCACGGAGACGGCAAGGCTTCGGCAGGAGCGCGAGATTGGCCGCCCCATTTTCCCCAAGGCTATCGGCGAGCTCCACGGCCATTCTGGCGTGGCGCGGCTGGCGCTCTTCGGGGCAAGGTCGATCTGCGGCGTGGTGGACGCGTCTCAAGGGATCGGTGTCGCCAACGCTGGGCTGGTGTACCACGACGGCCGCCTCCTCGCCATGTCCGAGGACGACCTCCCCTACCACGTTCGCGTCACCCCCGATGGCGACCTTGAGACGGTCGGCCGCTACGACTTCAATGGGCAGCTCGATGGCGCCATGATCGCGCACCCCAAGCTCGACCCGGCCACCGGCGAGCTTTTTGCGCTCAGCTACAATGTTGTCTCGAAACCTTACCTCAAGTACTTCTACTTCACAGCCGACGGGCACAAATCCCACGACGTCGATATCCCGGTCGACGAGCCAACAATGATTCACGACTTCGCCGTCAGCGAGAACTACGCCATCGTCCCTGACCAGCAGATCGTTTTCAAGCTCCAAGAGATGGTGCTAGGCGGCTCACCGGTGGTGTACGACAAGAACAAGACGGCGCGGTTCGGCGTGCTGCCTAAGCGCGCTGCCAACGCTTCGGAGCTCCGGTGGGTGGAGGTCCCCGGCTGCTTCTGCTTCCATCTCTGGAACGCGTGGGAGGACGAGGCCACCGGTGAGATCGTAGTCATTGGGTCCTGCATGACACCGCCGGACGCCGTGTTCAACGAGTCACCGGACCAGGAGCAGAGCTTCCGAAGCGTGCTCTCGGAGATACGCCTCGACCCGCGCACTGGTACGTCCCGCCGCCGCGCCGTGCTGCGGGAGGCCGACCAGGTGAACCTTGAGGCCGGCATGGTGAACCGGCAGCTCCTGGGGAGAAAGACGCGGTATGCCTACCTCGCCATCTCTGAGCCGTGGCCCAGGGTTTCCGGTTTCGCCAAGGTGGACCTCGAGTCCGGCACGGTGGAGAAGTTCACCTACGGCAAGGGTCGGTACGGCGGTGAGCCCTGCTTCGTGCCGCACGCGGATGGCTCCGGCGCGGAGGACGACGGGTACGTGCTCTGCTTCGTGCACGACGAGAGCCGCGGTAACGCCGACGGCACGTCGTCGGAGCTGCTGGTTGTCAACGCCCGGGACTTGCGCTCGGAGGCCACTGTAAAGCTGCCGGGGCGCGTGCCACGGATTTCACGGCACATTCATCACCGCCACGGAGCTGCAGCGACAAGCCCAGCTATAGCTAGCTAGCTAGCTACTACTCCCTTCCTTCTAAATTACTCGTCGCAAAAATGATCTACATATATCTATTTTTGCAACAAGTAATTTAGAACGGAGGGAACTAGCTACTAGCTGAAGTGACATAGGAAACGAATTAGGTAGACTTACAGTAGTAGTACTTTTTTTGTAACTGAAAAGTTTTTGTGATTAATTAGATCATTTGAACTCCATACGTCCATATGTATTGACTTTAAAAAAAAAATTAATGATAATATGTGTCTCATATGTATAATATTATAAAGGTAAAACTACAAATTACATAAGGACCGCCATGACAAAACTAGAAGGATGTCAGATGACACCAACACTCATCACCTGTCTCTAGCACCTCCTCACCCAAACTTGACACACGACTCATTCTTGATATGCAGCTCTGCGGACTTCTAATGTGGCTCACCAAATGTGAAGCCCTTACCATTGAACGAATCAGACCGGGGCAACACTCTGAACACGTCATCGAACTCCAGATCTGACACCCCACCACGACTAAGACGCAGAAGCAGTGAATCATACATGTCATCCACGAACCACGAACCCAGTACACGTTTCATCTTCTAAATATCGTCGATGCAGACCACAATCTGCATCCGCTCCTAGACTACCTCCTAAGCTCCGCGTCAACGCTGGAGCAAACGCCGTCGCAACGACGGAGCCCGAGGATACAAGTCCACCACGAGGACACCGCCACCGCCATCATCCTTGCTTGAACAGAATGATTTCCAAATTCATCCCCAACAATACGACCGATGGCCTGGTTAAAGAGCGATCCGAAAAATCTTTATTCAGCGTCGTCGGTAGTATACATGACTTCGTATGTTTGCCTGTGCATAATAAAAGGAGGTGGTGGATATGTACCATTTCGACTTGTGTATATGCAGCTGGGAATTGTAAATGAATTGATTATTGAATATGTGGTTGTTCTTTTTTTAAAAGCATATTTGATTTGTTCTTTTCTACATGTGTAAAAGAGCATTTACAGTCGGACACCCCAAACCCGTTTCAAATGCCTGGATGGACGGCCCGATCAATGATTTGTCACAAAAATACGATTCAGACGGGCGTCTTAAACGGGCCTGAAATGTCCGAATTGATCGCCCCCCTCATATCAAGCCCGAATCTAGAGCGAAGCGTGTCCGCCACGTCGGTCTCGGCACACGCGTCCCCACATATATTCCTCCTTATCTGCTCGACGGACCAAACCCTAACCACTTCCTTCCACTCCCCTCCGCCACCCAAGCTCCCGTACGCCGATCTCTGACCTTCTCCGGCATGGCGGGCAGCAGATCCAACAATGACTAGTACAAATTCATCGACTGGGTTGTCGTCCTGTGCGGTTTGGAGGAGATAATGGCCGTACACATTGCACTCCGCCGCTCCCGGAAGAACAACGCCCGACCGACGGCGGGATTTGTCGGGCGCGAGTCCATTGCGTCGGCGCATCGAGCGCTCGGATCCTTCGCTGGATTATCGCGGTCCTCCAGGGAGCATTCCAATTTCCCTTCCCCATTACAAGTGCGCCGGAGTATGAGTCCTACCGGGACCGGTGTGCCCGCTGTAGGAAGGAGAGGATGAGGGCCGCCGAGGCCCGTCTCGCTGACAACATGGTGGCGGCAGAGGGGGTTGATGCGGCGGCGCGCACTGCCACAGAGGAGGAAGCCATCTATGCCTGCATTGTAAAGAAGCAGCACGGAGGAACACGTGTACCCTTGCCCGAGAGCAGAATTGGACGATCGTGCCATGGCCGGACTGCCCCCAAGAAGGACAAGGAGGACAGCGACGGGTCGGACAGCTCTGGCTTGAACCATACAGTGTCTTCGACCGGTACTTCGGCGAGAAGAACGGCAAGGGTGCCGGAAAGAGCAAGGGTAGCCATGAATGATCTTCTCCATAGCTAGTATATAGGTCAAATATGCCAATTTTCATAGTCCAATGGCATATCCTGATGTAGTACGTAGTTGCATGAGTTTGTATGCATTTGAGGTTTGCTAATTGAGATATCCGGTTGTGGGAGAGAAATTTGAGACTTGACCGACCAATGTACGCGGATGCGCCTGGACGCATCCGTGAGTTTTTCTGCATAAATATCCACGGGCGTTTAGAATCGAATTTGCGAAGTCTGTAGATGCTCTAACTGCATATACATACCCTCTTGTTGGGTGAAAAGCCCTTTTTGGAAAGAAAAAAGAGTGCATGCCCAGATATGTATCAATTGTCGATACTTGCGATCTCTGTTGGATTTGTTTGAGTTTCACCTGAAAATTGTCGTGCGTATGTATGACCTTCCGTATCGTACTGTGATAAAAAACTTGACAATTTCAGTGAAATTATACTTTTTTTGCCGGTGAAATTATTCCATGTGCCATAAGTTTCACATATCACGGCTTTTGTGCCCGCAAAAGGAAAATGGACGCGTCTAGTGGGCGGCCGGCTGCCCACTAGTGCTATCGAGCGGTCGGCCTGAAAAGGTAAGTCCCTGTCTCCCCGTGGTCCTGCGCTCCAAAAAAGGAAAACGACCACCAACCCACGTGATCGAGCGGCTAGTCCCAATACGCGCAAACAGAAGGAGAGAAAAGCCCTCCCCACGCTCCCACGTGCCAGCTGTACCTACCCATCCCTCCCACGCTCCCACGCCCCCAAGCCACCGCGGTTCCTCCTTCTTCTCCACGAAAGAAGGGATCCAAGGCCCTTCTTCCTCCTCCTACACAGCCGCCATGGCAGCCCCAAAGTAGAAGAAGAACCTGCTTCAAAAAAGATCTAAGGGCAGGATGGTCAGAGCCATACCAGGCAGCAGCATCAGGGCAGGTAATTTCCCTCCCTCTGCCCCTCTTCACTTCCCCCCCTTCTTCTACTGCATATGTCAACCCCTTCTCCATGGATCTAGCAGAAATCCATGGAGAAGCTGCTTCAAAAAAGAGGTGGATCTGACAAATAACCCCACCCTCCCCCCATGAGTGTCATATCTGCAACTGAAAACAAGTACCACGAATTACTGTGCAACTAATCATGGGTAGGAGCCTACTATTCCCTTGTTTGTGCAACTGAACACAAGTTATTGGTTTAGTTGCACAGCTTCCTAGTTGCACACTAAACATGGTTTGAGACCAACTTTACTGAATTTTTTTCTAACATGCATGCCAACCAAGTTTCCCCCACCTAGATGTGTTAAACAAGCCAACTAAACCAAGTTCAGTGGCCAACTGAAACATGATTCTAGCTAACTCAATATGCATTATAGCCAAAACCTAAACATGCATTGTAGCCAACAGAAAATGCATAAGTGTGCAACTAAACATGCACCCCAACCAACTGAACCTGTATTCCGGCAACTCAGCATGCATGCTAGGCAAAACTAAACATGTATCCTGAACATGTATTCTGAGTGAACACTATAGAAAACCTGAAGTATATGTGCAATAAAAACATGTATCCTGGCCAACTGAACATGCATGCTGGCCAACTGAATATGCATCCTCGCCAACTGAAACATCTATTCTAGCCAACTGAACACATTGACTGTCCAACTGAACATGCATGCTGGCCATCTGAAAATATGCATCCTGGCTAACTGAGACATTTATTCTAGCCAAAACCAAAAATATGTAGTACGACAGCGAAAACACAAGAAACTGTACATAGCTAATGAAACCACAAACCATATTAAAATAGTCACGCATATATTCTTGTCCCACACATATATTCTGTTCCCAAACCTACTGCAAAGCTATAGTGTAAAAAATATGTTCAATATACTAGAAGTAAAAACAGAAACGACGATGAAAAAACATATATCTATAATCTGTCATCCAATTCTTCTTTATTCTTTCACCTGGATTTCCCCGTCTCAATTGTGGCATCAAATTATGTCCAAATTATGTGCAAAAAAATCTAGATCAGCTCCTTGCCAACAGAAAACCTGCAGATCATTGCAACAAATAGAGGAAAAAGTCAGAAAAACTCTGTACTAAAAAAGACATGTTCTTGCCAACTATTTACTGCAAACTGTGCAACTAACATAACAAGGCTGTGCAAAAAAAATGCATACCTATTATAATAAAAGATGCTGGTATAGAGATGTTGCTTTTCGAACTAAGATTGTCATAAAATGGTGTGCAACTACCTATTTACTAAGTTTTTAGGTTGTTTGAAACACTCTTTGATGATTAAAACTTGACATCACTTCCTTCTTTTTATATATGCAGTGGATGTGTGGCAGCAGCCAGAAAAAGGGAAAAATGCTTGATCTCAATGAGTTGCCTCCTGATCTCAATGAGCTTCCTCATGATATGGATGAGCAGCAACCCAGCATACCGCAAGGAAATCGGACAGAAAATGGGCGCTCTGTTTACTACATGCAGACAAGTCGTGGACCTAACCCTATGGGCCATGACAATGTGGTAGGGCAGTCATCAACCCGTGGTGCCCCTATAGTGGTGTCTTTGTAGTCAGAGAGCCATACTCTTGATGACACGGGCACTGTGGCAAATGTTCCTTGTCCAACCAGGACTGAGCTGGGTGTTGGCGCTATTGACGGTGCTGTGCAAGGAGAAGAAGGAGAAGATGAGGCTGGTTCTTAGCCAATGGAACCCTATGTTGGCATGAGGTTTGACACCCTTCAAATTGCTAAGGATCACTACAACTACAACATTGACGCCTTACGGATGGGTTGCTTTGTCAAAATGAACACCTCTAGGCGGACAGGCAATGTATTGGTAAAATAGCAGTTCTGCTGCAATAAGTACAAGAAGCCAAAAGCTGATGATGGAGGAGCTGAGGCTCCTCCTGTCCTGGACCCTATACCAGATCCAAAACCTGTTGACACTGATGAGGAAATGGAAGATGAACCTCCAATCTTTGCTGAAGAGGAGGCTGGTTCTAGTAAGAAAAAGAAGAAACGAAAACGCGAGACAATAAAGCAGACTCAATGCAAAGCAAAAATGTTCGTGAAGCTGATGGATGGGCGATGGGAGGTG